CCCTCTTTAAAGTGTCGTGCACACATGCCTCTTGTTTAATCTACACATGGCCCTAGTGAGTAAATTAGAGAGTCAAGAAGAGAGAAATAAAAAAATGGTTATAAATCTAGGAGACATGATTTAGGAATTAAGGTTGAACAAACTGGGTTTATTTAGTCTGGAAAAGAGAATACTGAGGGGGGATTTGATAACAGTCTTCAAATAACTAAAGGGTGCTTGTAAGGACACAGCAATAGACTATTCTCTGTGGTTGCAGGGGACAGGACAAGACATAAAGTCTTAAATTGCAACAAGAAAAATTTTGTTTGGGGGAGCTTTGTAACTATGCTGATTGGTAAGTATGGGCACAGAATACCAAGAGAAGCTGTGATATCTTCATCCTTAGAAGAAATTAAGAGAAGGTTAGACAGACACTTGACTGAAATTATTTATATAGGGATGATCCTGCCTTGAGCAAAAGGTCTCTTTTCTATGTTTCTACAGGCCTTTTATTTCCCTGCATGATCATGAAGAAGATCAATTTGCAGAAACAGGGCTCTTCAGTCTAGCAGGCAGAATTATAGCTATTCCAACCTGGAAGTCAAACCTAACCAAACTTAGACAAAGTTATTTTAACTGTGAGGTTATTTAATCATTGGAAAACAACTTACCATGTACTGTGATGGATTTTCCTTCCTGAAAATTATTGAAATCAAGATTGGATGTTTTCTAAAACATACTTTCTTTAAAGAGAAAATTCAGGTAGCTTGCATGGTCTGTTTCATACCAGTGTTCAGGGAAAATGATCACAAAATTTCCTTCTAGCCTTGTAATCTATGGATTTTATAATAAGCTGTCATTCAGTGGAGCTGGAAGTAGTGATACAGATGGGGTGTCTGTACTCTACAGATTCTCAGAGGCAAACAGTTGCCAGCTGGCCAGGTTTTGTAACATGAGCAAGAATTACTTAGAAAAGTTATTTGCAAATTTTTCAATAATTCTGTCCTTCTTTCTGCCATGCTGAGTGAGGAAACTTTTGCATGCAGCACCATTAAAAGACATGCAAGTATGAAAAGAAACAGCTGTGAGTAAATCTTGCAAGTAACAGATAATGTTATTCCAGGTCTCCCACTCCACCCAATTTTGCACTGGGACAAACAATCAAAATAATATCAGGATGGAAAGCAAGATGGAACGGGCCAGTGCAAATAGTTTCAGCTGTAGAGACAATGGCTTAAAGCAAGCATACCCTATGCCTTTTGCTACTTTCATTGAAGTCAGTTGGGCTATTCATGTAAAGTTTGCAGTTTTCTCAGTTTTCAAGAAGCACAGCTTTCCATCATACTGTTACTGTTGTACACTTACAGTCTAATCCTTACTGTGTTCGAATGGAATAAAGCTCCTGTTGTCTTAACTGGGACCAGGATTTGGCTCTTAGAAAAGCCCCTTCTGTTAAAGAATCCCTGGATATTTATACAAGCTTCATTGCGCTTCACTGAACTAGGAGAGAACTATCTCCAGGTGACATGTGGGGAACACCACAGTGTTTAAATAAAATCTTTATCCTCAGAATTTAGGTCTTGATTTTCAGTCCTGTATTTTAGCTGCACACATCAATACATGATAGGTAGTTTTTTGTGCCTCACTCAAGATTTCTTTTCTTCTGCGCTTTTCAGAGGTAGTAAAATATGTCTACAGAAAATGGTTTTTTGCCCATTGAACTGCAAACTAAAACTTATAACTTTTTTTTCCTGCTAAAATCTATTTGATTTTATTTGCTTTTCCCTCTCTCCTTTTTATCCTCCATGGTGTTTCACACCTATAGAGTGTGTGATACCGCATTTAAAGTTATTAGCAGAGAAACTGTTACAAATACAAATAAACACATTTGTGTTAGCCCAACATTGGATAACACTAATTACTTTTTACAACTAAAAAGTTGATTTGAGGAAGTCACTTTGAATAGTTTTTTAGTATTAAAAATATAAGCATGTTTTTCCTCTGTTCTCAGTTTCTCAGTGATATTTTCATATTTTATTTTTAAATAGTTAAAGTAAAAAAGATATATTCATGAGTAGTTTATTTAATGAGTCTTTGTAATCCTGAAAGCAAATATGTTGCTGTGCACGTAAGTATTATTCACCATGTAGTTATGGCTCTTGTTTTATTTCAAACAAACAGGGGTGCCTTATTCCATTTATCTCAGATAAAGTCCAATTGATTTCCATTTTCTGTAGTGTTAGGCAGTTTTAGTAAAAGAAAAAGAAAAAAAATTCTGTATGGTCATGTTTTGCTACAGTATGGATCTTT